AGACGAACCCACTGTGCGACCACACAGCACTTTCCCGGTGTTCAAGCCAACGGGCAAGAAGGACAGTTGCCTCCTCGATCGCCGCCACGGTCAGCCTAGCAAGAACTCTATCCCTCAAAGTGCGCCCAAGAGTCCGAGCACGCGTTCCCGAAGCCACCTCTGTAGCAGTGCGAGTCCGCGCAGCCGCATCCACAAGTTGCACCTGAACCGAGCAGCAACTTGCCAACATGTAAAATGCTTGCACAGATTGGCGCTGAGGTGACGGCTGCGCAGTCTCCGCACACGACCCGATGCCCACATGGTTCCAAGATGTATCTGTTCAACACATTGAAAACATGCTGTCACATACGTGATGCAGAAGTTGATCGAAGTGCTCCGACAAAGAAGCCTGGAGGGCTTATCGAGGCAGACGAAGCAGGGCGGAGCAAAGGAAGTGGCAGCTCCTTTGTCATCTTTGCCCTGCCAGCAGAGGTGACATGTCACCCCCATCTGCTAAAATACAAGAGCCGATCGGTCCTGCAATTTGTCAGCTTTTCCAGAATCCGTGCGATTCGGACGTTCGGCACCCTTGTAGTCCTTCTGCTTGGGATCCCGAGATCCTCGTGGTACCTGCGACAAAGACATCAGAGTACGGTTCTTCTGCCAGAAACTGCTGCGCGCTCCTTTCGAGCGTGAGGCGAATGGAAGGCGTTCCAATGCCCTGCTCAAGACCTTCGAGGGTAAAACCGTTGCTGCGGCTAGGCGCTCTTTTAGCTACCTCATGCCATGATGTCCCATCGAAGCATCAGCCAACAAGGCCTTGTTTCCAACCGCTCGTCTGAAGCTCCTGCAGCTGCGGAATCATGGCGCATGCGGCTTTCCCTGGCAAAGGCAGGTCCTGACAACTCTGAGATTGGAAGTCGTGTTCCACAGATCGCGGGCGAGCAGAAGCAAAGGGACGGGCCTCAGGGCAATGAATACCTGCCTTCCGAAACTTGGACCATGTCTCCTTCACCTCGACAGCTGTGATCCTGACGACGTAATGGCTGCCAGCGATATGCAAATGAACGCTGCCCCCAGGATTGGGTTGGCGGTCGGGACCGTAGTGACCTGCCAGACGCAAGAGGACCCCTAGACTCTAAACATCTCCACACCAGAAGCATCTGAACTCGGAGCTCCATGCCATATGCAGCCGAGAGTCCAAAATCGCAGGGGGGGAGAAGAGGGACCGGGTCAGGAAAAGCAAGATGCTGCTCAACAGACCTCGTGGTAAAGCTTGGACCAGTTTATTGTCTCAGCGAGCTAGTCGTTCTCCGACTTGATACCCCACACAACCACGCTGGTTTCGGCGAAGTTTTTGCAGCTGCGGAACTGACCAGCAAGCGTCCAGGTTGAACGATAAGGCAACGAATGCCAGAAAACATGACCTGAAAGCTACAAAGGCATAGCAGACCTCAGCAGCTGTCTGAGGCTTTGCTTCCAAGCGACATTAATCATGATGAAGCGTGGCATTGTGACCATGAACTCGAAGACACACAGCGACGGAGTGCACCTGATGTTGACATGCACCGTGCAGAGACCCTTGACATGGACGCTTCGACGACAAGACGTCTGTGCGACCCAAGGCTCGCAATCAGAATCCCCACCCAGGAAGGATGCACAATTCCGCTGCAAAGATATCCACCATTACCTGTTCGGCTCTGCAACGTTCTCCACACACTGACGAATGGGTCTGCTCTTCCTGTTTCCAGCCAAGATGCCCTGCAGCGCGTCACTTTCAGCAGCCTCGCCCGGGCCCAGCGCCTGACAGCGACATCTGAAGGCAGCATGGCAGCCTGCAGCCGCAGCGGCCGCTGGCATGTTCACTCAGCTTGCCCCGGCCGTGTGCACCGCGTATGTCAGGGATGACATAATCCAGGTGCAGTTGGCCACCCGCAGCCTCAAGCTGTTTTATCTAGGTCGTCCGCACCGCACATCACAACCATGCAGCCGATGCACTCGAGGCCACTGAGAGTGGTGAGATTCTCGAGCACCACGAGCTCCGGGGTCAGCTGGTCGAGTCCTGACCAAACGAACATTCGAGACCATTCGAGCATGCTTCAGGCTGTCTCACTTTGCATGACATTGGTAAACTGGGGTCCTATATACTCCATTTCCTTGAAGTTTACGTTGGCCTCCTGCAATGTGATGCAGTGTCAAGCAAGCTGGGCCGTGGACCGGAGGTCGAAAGAGCGCGGCAGTCCGGCTGAATCGGCATCAGGTTGCTCACCAGATGGTAGAAGCTCTCGCCGCTGAACACGAAGAGCAACTGGCGCCAACGCAAGGGAAAACGCGACGAAGGCAAGACCCAGGAGAGGCCTGGCTCTGAGGTCTGGGCGATAGCGGAGCAGCAGATGTATCTGAACAGCATTGACTCCACATCGTCCTCTCGATATAGAGCTGCGGGCGTGGTCCGTACACAAAACTCCGAAGCCCGTATAGATATTGTCATGGTGCAAGCACCGCACGACCCAAGTGGAAATCCGGAGGCGGCTCTGCTGAATCCAAAATGCTTTGCATTCCACGGTTCTGCGGCCTCCAAGCGTCTTCGCTGTACTAGAATCTAAGGCTCACATCGTCTCCACTAGCATGTTCGGTCTGAAACTGGAGCAAACATGCAGCGCGTCTTCCATGCGAGTCCCTTCTCCATTGTCATTGTGCATGCTACCTTGCAACATTGCCTTGAGCAGAAACCTATCCCAAAGGATTCCTCGATCTCCTTCCGGGTCCATTGGTGAATCTCCTGATCACGGGCACTGCGCTGCCGGCGCTGCCCGTCGCTCAAACCCTTCCGAAGCGACACCGTTGAATCTCGCCCTTCTTGTGGAATGCGCGCGTCACTGACCACTATTCGCCCATTGAAACAAAGGAAACAGCAATGAAACAGCCGTGCCGTGTTTAGTATACACCAATCATGAGTAATTAGCTGATGTCATACACGCTGCAATCAGTGCATTCTCGGATTTGTTCTCGGCAAGAAAGATATAGCAGAGTTAGAGCATACAAGTACCAGGGCCCACCTCCTTCGGCATCATCTGCTTCGTCGACCACGGCATTTCCAGCACTGCTTCCTGAGCACCTCAGCGGAAGAAGGGATGTGCATGTAGCGATTCTTAGATTAGGGATGAAACCTCTTGACTTGCTGTTTGACCGCCTTTCTCGAACTGCAGAAAGTGCTTTTAGGGTTGAGGGGTAGGGGTGTTGGAAGAGGTGTTGGAAGCAAACTCAGGGCCCCTTGGGTACACTTATTGGATCACCACCTTTTTTACTGAAGCTCCCAGATCAGTCTCGTTGCAAAGACTCAGTGTGCCAAGGACAGCGTTGCCATCCGGGCTGCGCACATGCCAGCAGACAGGGCACGTGGCGGAGTCAGAAAAGATGGGGAGCAACTACGGGTAGAAGCAAGGGATGCTGACGTATTGTTAATTTATCTTCTTCTTTATGTTGTATATGATGTTGATAGTATTTGATACTTAGTAGGATGGATAAGAGTATTTGTCTTTCCTCTAAATGTTAGTCGAAATAGTAATTTTGTTTACTCGTCGTTTGTTTGTAGCGCATATCATTGGATTGGATATCGGGGAGTTCGTAAACTATATACTAAATTCGAAATTACGATTATCTTTTCTTATTATTCTTAATAATGTTTCTGTTATTTTCTATTACATAATCTAATGCTTTGAATTTGGCATTATCCTAATATATTATTTCGGCATTCAGAATTTATTTGCTTATATTGAAATTCTTAATCTGAGAAAGATTATCTAATATATAGAAATTCTCTAGTTTCAATATTATTAGAAATATAATAATAAGAAATTAGATAACGATTTTTCTGAGTTTATTTGGACAATTATTAAAGGCCCCCTAGGCTTTCGTTATTAGATTTCAAAGTCGGAAGGCTTAATATAGCATTAATTTGAATTATTAGAGTTCTTCAATAGTAGTTGATATATCTGAGATATTGTAGATATTATTGCTGCAAGTACTCAGAATTGAGGATTTTTTTAGAAGATTGGACTATCTTTGACACGTATAGAATAGAGAATCTTGAAAATTTCATATATTTTTATATTTAAGAGTTCGTTGAAGTCTTAGAGCTAGCTAGATGATTACTTGAGTTGCGAGCCAGAATTAAAGATGCAGAATTGGTCATAAGCGTAAAGGGTACGCATCGTCGGTCGTCTAGGCAATGGGTCGAATAGCTTCTTAGAAAAGGTTGTGAATTTCTATATCACTTGAGTTGGTTAAAATGCGGGATAGGTCTTGTGATTATAGTGGGGTCGGGTAGATGGATATTTATTGGATAAAAATTCTTGTGGAATGACGAGGGCGTATGATTGCAATTGTCTAAGGATACAACTTTCCACAATGAGTCATTCATTTGGAAATTTATGGGAGATTGTCGTATCGGCACACTTTACACAACTGAGGCCCACGCTTTCGCAGAACATCCAGGTGGTCTCCCATCATCTTGCAGTGCGGCTGCCAGCGAAGTAAGTCGACAACAATGAGTTCTTCAACTCCGAATCGACACCAAATGCCCTGGCCATGTCGGATGAGCGGTATCGGCTCGCCGCCGATGTATTCCCCAGCAAGTGTTGTCTGAGACCCTACACGTCCCGGACTGTCGAGCCGATGGACGGAGACCAGGTGGAAGCGGTTCTCGGTTGCACGCTCCGTGGCTGCCATCTCAGCGGCCTCGACTCTGTCCCAGTCGGCCGGGTGCAACACCACCTCTGCGGCTTGAAGCGCAATGCACCGCGAAAGCTCAGGGTTCCAGACTTCGTCTGCGATCAGCACGGCCACCCGTCCCAAGCCTGGCACAGACTCCACGACGATGGAGTCACCCTGAGAGGCCCAAGAAGTCTCTACACGGTTCAAGTGAGTCTTG